ACACTCTCAACGAATTGAGCACCTTTAAATTTTGATTGGGTATTTTCTAAATAAATAAAACTTAATTTTTTCGATAAAGATCAATAAATAAAACAAAATAATTAATTGAATTGCTTATTTTCAATAATATTAAATAATCAAATAAAATTTATTTTTTTATTAGTATGAAAATTAATAAATTTTTTATTTTTGGAATAAATAATAGCATTTTCAAATAAAATATTTAAAAAAAAATTAATTTTTGAATTTAAAGAAATCTATCTATCAATTAAATGAATATATTTTATTAATTAATTTGATTTAAAAGATGCAATAAAATAGGAGATGAAGGTGCATATATACTTGGTTTAGGGTTAAATAACTGGAAGAATATTATAAGCTTATAACTATATTTATTGTAAATATAAATATAATAATTTTATCTAGATTTAATCAACAAATTTGGTTGTTGTTTAGATAACATATTTTCTAATTTAATTTAATAAAATATTTTGTACTTATTATTTTTATTTTGAAAAGTTACAACCAAATTAGTCAAACAGGAATATCTAATATTGCTAAAGGTTTGGGCACCCTAACATAAATGAAAAATTTAGAGATAAGCTTTTTGTAAATTAATATGTTTCTTATTTTTATCCATTCAAGCATTTACCATATTTTTTTTTTTTGAATATTGCTATTCTCGGATAATTATTTCTGTAGTAGGAAATAAATATTTAGTAGAATAATAAATATTATTTTAAAAATTTAATGTATATTTAAAATAATAAAAAAAGGTATCGAAAGAGGTTTTGAACCTGAACTAACAAAAAAAAATTAAAAAATATTATTATTTGCTTATTCTTTTTTTTGATCAAAATAAAATGAATTATGATATATAAAAATATAAAATGAATTATTTTTATTTAATTAAATAAAGAGAAAATAAAGTTGGAAATGAAGGATCTATTGCACTCAGTGAAGGTTTAAGTAAATGCTAAAATCTAAGAGAGTTAAAATTGTACATAAAGTAAGGAAAATTACAAATTAGTTTAAATCATTTTTAAATAAAAATATCTAATAAAAAGTTGCATAGAAATTACTATAGAAGGGTATTAAAAAATAGATTAATGCTTATCAGGTTTAGTAAATTTATTAAATTTCGAGTGCTTTCTACTGTAATACTATCCTACCTATTTTATATCTTTCAATTGTTTTTTTGATAATTAGTAATTAATCTGAATTGTTAAAGTCATAAGATATCCTCAACTGTAAAAATATCAAAGTAATTTCATGCTTTTTCCCCGTAATATTTA